ATACAGAGGTTGGTGACGCAGAATCAAGGAGGAGAGATCGTCTCCTCATCAAGGGAGGCTTTTACAACTGCAGTAAGCAATCCCGCTCCTCTGCTACAGCCAAAAGGGGTGCTGCCTTGACTGGATGGAGCGCTTCAAGAAGAGCCAGACGAAGAGGCTTCCAAGGACCAAAGTCTAACTGAGGAAAGGGAAGGAGAGCGAGGCATTGCTCTGTGTACAATCTTACCTTTGTAGCTAGAACTTGGTAGAAGATACAGAAGGCACACGTATCCAATAATGCTGGGAGACATGGGGTATTGGATAAAATAATGTGCAGCCACAGCACGCTGGAACATTGGGGTGGATTTAAACCAGGAAAAATCTAATAACTCATTCTCAGCAGAGCAGCCCATGAACAACGGCATGGAGATGTGACAGCCAACATGTCAGGGCGCAGCACCCCGGCAAGGAGCCTACACTGGGAAGCGGCGGAACAAGGAGCTGTGTTCAATGGTAGTGAGATGTGCCCTGGAGCATGGAGCACCCTTCTGGATGATCCACGTTAGACAGATGATTACAGATGGGAGTAAACCCAGAGGAAAGCAGTCAAGAGACGCAAGGCTCTGAAGCTATACGACCCTCAGGAACGGGTGAAGACGCTCAGGCCTCTTTTATCTCATGCAGATGTACCCTAGTCTTTTTGCCAACCTCACGCACAGTCTGGTGAGGCTCGCATAAGCAGTGAGGTCACAGGCTGAGATATAGGTACTTAACAGTCAGACCAACGGCCTGTTCGGTTGATGCCGACTCATGGCGACATCTAGGTGTGGCAAGTAGCACCGTGCACCACACGGTATGGTGTTTTTTGGGCGAGAGGCCAAGGTTCACGTTTTCATTGTTATAAAAACACAGACAGTACGTTTGCACCAGCGTCCACGTGTGTAACTTAGTGAAAGCATTGGCATCGATCACGCGGTGCAGCCACCATCAGTATCTATTGCCACAGTTAACACTGAACTCCGGCTCATGTTGATGGAAACCGAGGTTTCCTAACCAAAATGAGCAGGTCTGAAGAAAAGGCATGGAGGAAGCCTTTAGTATCTGTCTTAGGGCTGCCCCTGGTCCAGTGTGGTACAATTTGAGAATGAATGTGAATGAATAATTGAGATGCATTATGACCCATTCGATAGAAAAATAGCCCACGAGTCAATGCAACTGATATCTAAGCCATACACGGTAAGGGCTGGCATGTGTGCAGGGGGTGGCACTGTTCTGCTTTTAGATGGGTGATGTAGAGACGGTGGAGCCTTGCATCATAGCTGGGTTTGGTGAACGCTGCATCCCTGTAGTTGAGCACTAAGAAGAATATGCTCCCTGTGCAACCACAAGGTGTCGAAGGGATCAGGTATAAGGCATCATGAGAACAAAACATCTTACCATAGTGAATGATGGGGGGAGTGCGGAGTGGAGACCCAAAGCCGGGAAATCCCCTTGCAGAGGGGTCTCGGGGAGGAGATGAGCCAGTCAGGGTGCAATGTAACAACGATGAAAAATACAACTCTCCTCTAGTTCCTAAATGTTTCCTCCCCGCTCCCACTACCATGACTCGAATTCGACATTGCAAGTCTGGCTAGACCAGAGGATATACACTGGTACAGATAGGAACTGAAAATACAGGGAATCCAGGGCAGATGAGCCCTACAGGACCAGTGGTGTGAGTGGCGAAACAGGGAGGGTAGAGGGAGAGTGGGTAGGAAAGAGGGAACCGATTACAAGGAACTATATGTGACCTCCTCAATGGGGGATGGACAACAGAAAGGTGGGTGAAGGGAGACGTCGGACAGGGCAAGATATGACAAAATAACAATTTATAAACTATCGAGGGCTTATGAGGGAGTGGGTAGCGGGAAGGGAGGGGGAAAATGAGGACCTAATGCCGGGGTTTAAGTGGAGAGAAAATGTTTTGAGAATGATGAGGGCAATGAATGTACAAATGCGCTTTACACAATTGATGTGTGTATGGATTGTGATAAGAGTTGTATGAGCCCCTAATAAAATGATTAAAAGAAAAAAAAGAAGAATATGCTCCTAGCTCATTCGTTCCTAATGAAATTGGAAGGTGGGGCTCTTCTCGAGCACATTTAAAGATTCTCACAGATGGCTAAATTGTTTGATTATTATGTTTTAAGTCTTTGTTTCCTTCTCTAGTAATGGCAGAAAATGAACCCTTATAGAAGCATATTTTACTCAATCTGCACACGACCCAGTGAGGGGAGCATTACTAACTCTGGGTCACAGATGGGGTCACTAGGGTGTAGTCACTTATGCAACAATACATAAAAGCAATGGCCAGAGCTGGGATTTGAACTCAGGCAGGTGTGCCAGGCTTCAAGTCTAAATTCCTCTCCACCAGACCACACCATACCAAACCACACCACACCAACCACAGCTGAGGGGGCTGGAAGGTGTCACGGGCCCCACTACTGCAAAAGCCAGTCTGCCATGGTCCCTCAAGGGCGATATTTCCTCATCTCCTTGGGATTAGAGAATGAACCAGGGACAGTGTTCTAGGAATCTATTGCCAAGATGATGCTGATCTCCCGATTCCTACAGCGACCTCCCCGGATGTGCTCCCTGTGGTTTGATTTGCTGTCTTTCTTCTCCTTATAATGTGTTCTCCTGACCACTTGTAAGCCAGCATCCTCTGGCCCTCCGGCACAGTCAATACTATCGATCACATCTAGAAGTCCACAGATACCAATCTATAGTTCCACCAATGAAGAGAAGTGCAGGTCATAGAGGACACATGGCTGCCTCGTTACCTGTCCTTCATGTTCTAAGAGCGAGAACATTCTAATTTGCCGTACCTGGCCACAGAAACACACTCCCCTTATTGTGCCTACTGCTGAGAGATTTTCCAAAGTTCGGTTATGAAACATGCCATCTTTTATCATCTCCCAACACTCTCTGTTAGCTGGGGCTTCGGGTTCCCATTAGGCCAAGTTCTCCAGCCCACTAGAGCTTTCCTCTTAGAACTAAGGAACCAAGCAAACATCTAATTCCTTCCTGTGTTTAAAAATACAATGTGGATATGTTTTGCTGCTTTGGGATCCCTGGCTTTCACTGCCTTTGAATGCGGGTGTTCCCCAAGGTCAGGGTCAAAGACTGCTGAGAGCCAAAGGCGCCTGTGACAAATGTACTTCTCCTCCAGTCTGTGCTGAGCATGTTGTGTGCTGCCTGTCAGGTGGTGGCGGGGCAGACAGACATGGCCCTGCCTTCACCAGGCATTGACAGCCTGGCTGAAGAGGCAGGCAGTCAACATAAACGTCTTCAGGTAGGGATTCACATGGAACACAGAGGCCACATCTCTCACCAGGATCCAACACAGAGCTCAGAACACCGGGGCTTCTTTTTGACGAATGGGTGACTAGTGTGCTTGGGGATGCACAGAAAGCCTATCCGGCTGCGCTGTTTTCAGCACTGAGAATCCAAAGCTTCAACTGTTTTCGAGTGGGGAAAACACGACAGGGAACTAGCACTGCCACGGACTGTTAGAACTGCTTGGACAAGTCACTCAGCCTCTCTGGGGCCTCCATTTTCTGCATGGTAGCATCGACCGTGAGGACCAGATGCTACATGACTAGGGATCAGAAGCGTCCTGATCTAACTGCATTGCCCCTGCAAGAGGACAAGGACTGGCCAGCGCCCAGGGCCTGCTAAGGCACCCAGACCCATCGGAAGGGTCTACGTCTATGTCAGGGCTGCTGGAAAGATGGGTAGCAGCTGGGAGGGATGAATCCTCTGAATCTTAAAACGATGAGGCAATGCCTGAACACGGCCAACACTTGGTTTTGCTCATCACTGACTGGTTAAGAAGAAACACGTTGTTCCTTGCCCACGGGCAGTTGAGGCTATGCTTCTAAGCAATGGACTAGAGGAGAAGGAACACACAGAAATGATCTCCTTTGTACCTTTTTACAAAGGTAAAAATGAGCTGATAGTCAAAGATGGCTCAATCCTTGAAGACAGGATGCCAAATGGAATTACCTCGAATGCCCTTGAATGCTAGTGCACGCGATGAAGGTGGCTTAGTGCCATGGTCTCAGAAGGCTTAGGGACAGCGCATTTTCTCTCTAAGTCAGAAAACGCTAGAAAAGTGGAGGCCTATCCTCCTAGAATACTCACAGGAGCAAGGGGACAGGAGCTGAAGGAGCAGGTCAAATGACTTGATCTAGAAAACCTAGGGCCTAAGAGTCTCTGAAAAGCCTGACCTTCAAGAATAATATCACTGCTCGGCAGCAAAAGATCATCTCCCACCAAGCACTTGAGAAGCAGGGGGGGGAATCGAACCTTTCTCTCCTGAATTCCACTCCCGACTTGGGCAAATCCATGGTGTCTTTGCTTCAGTGCCTTCCTTTCACTTCCATCAGGACCCTTAACTCTTGTTCATTTGCTCTAAGACGTAAGAGAGCAAGGGTCTAGGCTTCCTTACAAGACACTACTTCCTGGGCCTGCTGCCGCTCAGGCACAGAGCTTCCTGGCTTCGGAGCGGAGGCCAGGAGAGTGATGTGGGCTAAGATGCCCCGTCGCTGTGGCCATTTCTCAAATCATTAGTCTTGGTCTAACTTTAAAGTGATCCCCATTCAAATCACTGTAAGAAGGAGCCAAGCCCATTCACCAACTCAGGACCAGCTCACCCTCGGCCTCCCGAGTTCCTTCCCGAGCACCCAGCAGCTCAGGTGGGGAACGGGACCAGGAGCAGAGACGGAGGCTCCCTCGCCCTTCCCACTTCTGTCAGCCTCTTGAAAGCAAGCGTTGTCTACCTGAACCACCTCAGACAAGGTCCCCGAGCTGCGACACACCTCCTCCCTCCCTGGGTTCGTCCCCTTTGCTGGCAGAGACAGCTTCCTGCTCAGTTAGGACCATGTGGGAACCACTCCTCTCGGGCTAACCCTCCAGGTGAAGCCTGGTGAAGCCAACAAGAAGTCTTGGGGGGAAGGCAGGCCGGGACATTGTCCTACCTTGTCACTGTCCACTGTGTTCTGAGAGGTCCTCGAGGCAATGGAGATGGTGTCCGGCTGGCTGCTCCCATCCCCCTGGCTGTCCACATCCTCCACACCATCCCTGCAGAGAGAAGAGAGGAAAAATAGGGGTGGGGGTGGGGGGAACCCCTGTGGGTTGAGAGCACACAGGGATCCCAGCTGGGCTGGATGAGCAAAGCCATAGCACTCTGGCAGGGATTTATCTGAAATGATCCCAGTAGAGGGAACAGCACTAGGCGATTTTCGATGATGCTACCTTTTGTGGTTAGTAAACACATAATCGTTACCTTGATAACTGAAAGTAAAATGAGCTCCCTGCATAATCCCTTTGGCCTGCTGTCCCCGGGGACGGGTTTGCAACGGGCAGTAGGAAGAAGGGCATTCTCTATCCAGTGGGACGGGGTCATCTCCGGCAGTCCCAGAGTTCAGGGCATTCAGGGGATTTCTCTGCCAACTGGGATTGGGGTCAAGATATTTTCTGTGAGAAAAACTTTCTTTGGAAAGTTCAGGATGTTGGAGTCTCAAGTCCTGAGTGTGAAAGGGGAATTTTTATGGTCTTTGTCCTGGTGGGATAGGCTCGTGCTTATTGTTCATGATTTCTTCTCAACGCAGAAGGCCCGGCATTTCTTTCAAGGACAGACGAGCCTCAGGTCCCCCAGCAGTTCTGAGTCAGCGCTGCTGCTGCTGCTGCTGCTGCTGCGTGGCTGATGAGACCGTCCCCAGGAGCCCCCTGGCCTTTGGACGCCAGCCTTGGCCTTTGGATCATAATCACACAGCTTGCTCCACTCACATGTCTATCTGACTCTCAAGCTTTCTCCCCCGCGCCAACCCCGCACTGAACCGCAGCCAGCACTAAAAGGAAGTGATGGAAGCTGAGTCGTCTGTGACCGAAAAAGCTGGGGAGAGGTGAGGGCTGGGGTTAGACAAATGAGCACGGGAAATAGCTCTTCCTAGGAAGGCTTTCACGAAAGTCGCACTCCCAATGGGTAAACATTGGGCTGCTAACCACAAGGCGGGCAGTTCAAACCCACCAGCCACTCCTTGGGAGAAAGATGAGGCTGTCCGCTCTGGTAAAGACTGACAGCCTCAGAACCCCCACAGAGGGAAGCTATGAGTCAGAATCGACTGGAGGGCAGTGAGTTTAGGTTTGGGGTGACACTCCTGGTGCTGTTTCTAGACAAGGAATGGCCCGAGGGGACATACATGTCTACTGCCTGAGAGTGCGAGGGCAAACTGCCCCCAATCATGAAGCCACTATGTAAGTAAGGTTCACACGATGGCAGTCTAGCACACGTGAGGCCCCTGCGGGCATGAGTGTGCGCATGGGTATACGGTGCATGCGTGCTGTCAATTTGTGTGCGTGCACAGAGCCGATTAGTCATAAAAAAGGCCTCCTCCCAGCAGACACTTCTCAGTTGACTGCTTTCTCCCCGCCACTTGTGGGCTTGGGAAATGCCGACCTGTGTGAATGCCATCAGCCCTACATCCGTGGGAGGAGAAGGCTGCTGTAAAAAGCAATGATGTGACACATCCCATAGCCCAGATACGGCTTTTCCATCCTGTGTTGTTGCGGGTGGCTGGACCCCCGCTCCTCGCCATCTGGGGATGGTGAGAGTGGGCTGGGCTCACTGCTTCCAGCTTCCAACTATTTTGGCCCATTTGGGTACATTCCGGCCCAGGATGGATGAAGTTGATTCTGTGGGCCATCCAGAAGTGTTGTCTGTGTGGGGGGTGGGTGGGTGGGTGGGTGGGAGTATTTCCTAAGCCAATCCGCTCCTCCAGACACTCTCATTCTAATAGTCAGGGATCCAAGCTAACCAGACAGCAGCGTGCCTGGTTGTTTGCTATGGAGCCTGCTAAGATGGACCACAGGGCAGTAACAGAAGCTGAGGATGGTGGGGGTGACACGGCTCTGTCCCTCCCACGTTATACCATACCACACCAGTTGCCCCTGAGACAACTCTGATTCATGGAAACGCCATGCATGTCAGCGTGCAACTGCACTCACAGAGTTTTCAACGACTGTTCTTCAGAAGTACCTCATCGGGTGTTTCTGACCCTTGGGTTGGCAGCTGAGCATGCTAACCGCGTGCCCTGCTCCAGGACTGCCCCTGGGTTCTAGAATGGCTCAGACTCACCAGTTCTAGGACAGGGGCTATTTCACAGAGTCATCTCCACACACCTCACCTCACTCGAGTCCCCTCTTACCCCTCCAGTCCTCACCACCGCTTCCTTTCTCTCTTCATTGTCTTGGGGCTGTTCCCTGTGCTAAACCAGGTCTACGTCTGAGCTGGTGCAGGAGGCGTGAATACAGTTCCGCTTGGCTCCTGCAGCACTCGGAAGGCGCCCTTAACACGAGGGTCTTGGGGCTTCCACCTTGCTCAGCCCCTTCTTTTGGCTACCACCTCACTCTGGCCAGTGTGTCTACCCCACAGGCCCCACACTGCTCTCCAGTTTGCTTATCTCCGTTGATTTCCAAGAGTCAACTGAGTCCTTCATTCCATTCATGAGCAGGGAGGGAGAGGAGTCAGCTACTACCCAAATGCATCATGCCCAGCACCCTATTTTCACTGTTGGCCCATTTGGGAATCTTCTGGTCCAGGATAGCGGAAACCAGTTCAGGAGGGAATGTGGGTGTGGGTGGGGTGTCAAACGCATATGCAGTTTTTATACGCTTTTTTTCTTTTCTTTTCAAATTATCCCCCAAAGAAGAATCTTGTAGGAGTCTGTCCCATGGAGACTTACCAAAGGAGGTCATCCATTGGTCTAGAGGACAACGGGGTGAGAAGGCTCAGGTACATGCAGACATAGAACTAAGTCCTCTTTACCCAATGACATTGCTTAACGTTGGGTGCGTGAAAAGCAGGATTCCATGGAGGTCACAGGACCCGCTATTTGACCTTCACAATGATTAAGTCACCCGACCCCCATGCCACCTCATGCAACTGGTTCAGGAAGCTCCAGAGCTCATCTCCTTTCAAAGTCTTTCCCTGCTCCCCTGTGGTCTCCTTACTCGGAACCCTTCAGGTATTCCCTGTCTCTGTGCGTGATACCAGCTCTCCTCTTTATCCCGTGTGGGAGACATGACCCTCAGAGGGTCCTTCTGCCGTATCCAGCAGTGTCTGGAGCTCTGATGGCATCGTGGTTACAGGTTGGGCTGCGATCCACAAGGTCAGCAGTTTGAAACTACCAGTTGCTCTGTGGGAGAAAGATGGGGCTTTCTACACTCACAAAGGGTCTACAGCTTTGGAAATCCAGAGCAGCAGTTCAGCTCTGTGGATGAGAGGATTGCCACGAGTCGGCAGTGAGTGTGGTTTTGGTGAGCAGGCCGTTCATCAAGGTCATCTAGCAGAGAGCTCAGTGACACTGCTGACCTTAATTGGCAGCAACTGGCAAGATGCTGGAAGATCAGATAATCCAGGGAGAATTTCGGGGGGGGTCATTCAAGGAAGGGGGTGCCCTCTGCGGAGTGCTACCACCCCTATGAAAGCAATGATTTACCCCACTCCCACTCCCACTCCCAAAAGCAGGTGAGGCAGTTGGGAGGGAGAGACGCTGGTTACCTCTTACTGTTGTTCCTCTGTTTGGCTGGTGTTTTGGGGAGCTGGATTGGCTCCTTTAAAGCTCCTTTCAAGTGAATGATCCTTTCTTGAATCACCTCTCGGATATTCTTGATCCACTCCTGCTTGGTTTCGATGTTGGAGGCCTGGAGTGCCACAGGAAAAAAGAATGAGGACTCACCTCCCCTGCACCCTGCCCAAGCGTTTCGATCGTCCTCTCACAAGCGTGCTCCAGTGTTTTCCAAGATCCTGGTATTTGGGGAGTTCAGTTTCATACTTGCAACTCTTCCAGTGACCTGCTTCTCCAACTCATTGACCAGGGCTATGGCCTCAAGACTCAATGTAGACTTGGAAAGGGAGATTTTTCCAGGGAACCTGGTGACCACCAGGACACTGACTGGTCCTGGTACCTTCTCTGGGGCTGGAGCATTCTCTGGAGGCTCCTGCCATGTCAGGAGTGAACCCTTTAGCTGCTAGGTATTGGGAGGTCTTCTACACCTGTTAACAGGTACAGTCTGGGAAACTCACCAGGGCAGTTCTGCCCTGTCCTATAGGGTCACTAGGAGTCGGAACGGACTTGATGGCAGTGATTTTGGTTTTCAGTTTTGGAGGGGTGATGGGGGTGAGGGAGGGCAGCCAGGGGATATTTAAAAGCAATGGCTATTCACCAATGGCATGGGCCTTCATCAGGTTAAATGCAGGCTTGTACTGACGGGAAGTCAGTTCTTGGGGTTCGCGCCTGCCAAACCTTAGGAGTTTGAGAGTACTGGAGTTTGTCTCTGGGAAACTTCTGTCAGGGCTGTATGGTCTTTTCCCTGGTGACAGGTGAGTCCCTGAGAAACAAATGATCGGTGGGCGGTCCATATGCTCAGCCAGACTAACAAGGCCACAGGCACTCATTTAAGGCCCACCTATACTCTGGCAGGTAGCAAGACTCCTACGGTCCGTCCTGAGGCAACAGACCCTCCTTGTCACTCCTCTCAATCAGCAGTTCCCGTGTGACCATGTTTTACTGGAGCTTTTAGAATGCGGGTTTCCAGAGGACAAGGCCCGTATCTTACACACATCAATCCCCCTTAGCTGAGCAGAATGACTTGTGCATAGAAGATGTTTTGGGGTGGTCATAGTGTGCTGGTGGTGGTGGTGGTGGTGGTGGGGTGCTGCCCTGGTGGTATAGAGGGTTATGAATCAGGCAGCTAACGACAAGGTCCGCAGTTGGAAACCACCTGCAGGAGAAAGATGAGACTTTCTACGCCCACAAAGAGTTACAGTCTCAGAAACCCATCAGCAGCGATGCTATAGGGTTGCAACGAGTTAGAATCAATTCGGTGGCAGTTGAGTTTGGTTTGAGTGACAATGTCGAAGAGAGGTGACTTTTCTCAAAGGGTCAATTGCTCATCTGGCCACTTGAGGTGGGTATATGGAATAACAGAGCTGAAGCAGACCTGCCGAAGGAGCCTCAGGGACCACTCCCTGCCCTCTGCCCTCCATAGTCACATGACTCTCTTGACCCAAAGAGACCTTTTGGCTTTGAGCTATGGGTCGACCTTGTGACAGAATACTCTTCGGAATACCCATATGGTGCTGCCATTCCCAAGAGAGGCCCAGTGGAGTCCCTGGTCTCCCATCCCTCCACCCGCTCTCTTCCAGCATCCCCTACCCTGGCCTGGTGCCTGGCAGAGAGGGGTACTTACTTTCAGCACTGTTTTATTGTCTGAGGATGGGGTACGCCCAGACCACAAGGCGAACTTGCAGGGGTCGCCCTCTACGTGCTCCGTCACACCCAGCTCTGAGGTCTGTAGACAGGAAATGCCTGTGAGAGGCGGGGAAGGGGAAGGCAGTGGGGAAACTGAGGGGAGGGCTGGGCTGGGAAGGGAAAGGCAACAGAGAGGAGAGGGCCAAGGGAGGGGCTTCTGTCAATCAAACTTAAACAGACTGGACTTTCTGTTCATCTCCCCGGGATGGAAGGACCGGCAGGCAGGTGCCTGAGCAGCAGGTACCAGGGAAGGCATAGGAAGAGGAGGTGCCCACAGCAGACAGAGAGAGCTGTGGGGACGAGGCAGGTGAGGTGGGAGCTCTCCCTGTAGGAGAGGCGCTCTTTCGTCCTGGGGTGGGGATGGGGGTAGGGGTGGGGGTGAGTGGGTCACGCGAAGGGGGGGCAAGACGTGAGAGGAAGGTTCCCAGACCCCTTCCTGCTCAAGGGCTGTACAACTGCAGGGGGGTCTGGCCTTACCCGACCGGGCCCACCTACCAGCAGCTTGTTCTTGTAAACATATTTTGTGTGTCCTGCAGAGTCTTTGATCTCCTTGCTAAAAACCAAGGCGATCTCAAAGAGGAACAAGTGCCGCTCCCGCCCCTTCCGGATCAGCGACTTGGGGTCCCACACTTGAAAGGCATCTTGGAGGATCAGCTCCCCCTGCACATCCAGGTTCTCGTCGAACCCTGAAAAACACCATTCCCACCGCCCGTGTTGTTTCTTTCTCTGGGGGCGCCGTCCTCTCGGGAAGGACCTGACAGGCACCTAGAGCGCTGCTTGCTCTCTGCTGCCCCAACCAGGCTCCCCCACCAGCGGAACTGGGACTCAACCACCCACCCCTGCACAAGGGCTCCCAAGTGGGCAGACGCCACAGCAGGGGAGTCTCCGGCACAGGCGCTCTGTCTCACTGCCCCTGACCCCCCACTCCGTTCTTTGACAGCTGCCCACTGTTCCCAACTCCTAGCTCTGAGGAGGAGGGCAAATGCTGCCTGCGGGGGTCGCCCTTGGCGTCACTTCATCTGCTGTTGCTTACAGTTATTTTCCTGTCTCTCCTTCCCGCGGCTCTTTCCTTCAAGTGGCCCTGAACCTTCAGCGCTTCCAGAGGACACTGGACATCCTGAACAGAGGTGCTCAGACCAGCGAGGGTAAGGATTAGGAGGAGAGCTTGGAACGCAGAAGACTCCTTAGCCCATCCCCAGGAGACGGTCATAGGTTGTCTATGAACTTGCACCTCTGACAAGCGTTTACGTGGCGGGAGCAGCTGGTCCACAGCTGGTCCACCACCTGGAGTAGGTAGATTCAGAACGCATGCCAGGGACGGGTTGGAGGACATGGTGGTGGTGGTGTCTGTGGGGAGGTGGATGGTGGGGAGGAGCAGGCGCCAACAGAACACGTGGAGAAGTTGTAGCCATGGAAATGTGCTCAGATAACTAGTGCCCAATCTGGAGAAGATGCCCAGGGGATCGTGTGCTCTAAGAACGAAGGATCCCTGTGCTACGGGTTAGGAGCTCTGGGGGCATTGTGGTTACATGATGGGTTGTGAACTGCAAGGTCAAAACCACTAGCTGCTCCTGAGGAGAAAGACGGGCTTTCTACTCCCCTAAAAAGTGACCCGTCTCAGTAGCTCACAGAGGCAGTTCTACCCTGTCCAATACGGTGGCTATGAGTCAGAACTAACTCGATGGCAGTGAGTTCAATTTCAATTCGGTGCTCAGGGTAATCAAAGAAGGGCTGAGCCCAGACCAAGTCTCCCGGATGGAGGGGGAATTCGAGGGTGGAAAGACGAGAAGGGGAAAGCAGCCCACAGAGTCTAACAGAGAATACTGATTTCCTTGAGCCCCTCTCTGCCATCTCAGACTGGAATGCTGAGTGTTAACTCAGCCAACAAGGTCCACCCTGAGATGGCTGGTCTGGCCATCTGTTTTGTGGTGTGCAGACCCTGTACAAGAGCCTGACTCTCCAAGACTTCTGTGTTCCAAGACGGACTCAGGGAGGTTCCGTCAAGTGCATCTAGTTGGACTTGCCTAACCTCCTGGGTAATGAATGTATCAGTGTGTGACTGCGTGCGTGAGTAGAGTTTCTACTTTTTCTGAGGATGGAGGCAGTGCAAATGCAAAACACAAGACTGCCGTGGCTCTAGTACATTTTGAGTAATGTAACGGGTCATAGGCAGCCAGGTATTCACGTAGCTTAAATAGCTTAGGCATGGCCCTATGTGGAGGCAAGGCGTTACCCAGCTGGTCCCTGTGATTTCTTCTCTTCCAGCCTGGTGCCTTGCCTGACTGCATGTCACTCCCTCCCCTGGCACTCCCTGGTCTTGGGAATGCCCAGAAAGCCGCAACCAGGCCTCAGAGAACAGCTACCTTCCAGCATGCTGACATGCATGGCGTCGTTGGCTTTCTTTGGGACACTGAGCATCACCTCCAGGCCGTCCTTGAGCTCCCCTTTCCCTTCTTCACAGCAAGTTAACAGCTCCTGCAAAAAAGGCCAGGCACCATTAGAACAATTCCCTCCAAGATTCCCCATCAGCCCACCATCTAATCCTTACAAGGCGATGGCACACTGGCTTCAGCCTCTGTCATGGTTCCCCATAAGCTAAAAGGAAGGCAGGGTGGGGCATGCTTCTCAAAACTCCAACCACTCTGTGGTCGTTACCTAATCTGTTGCCAATTTGAGACTTAAGAGTGAAGAGGTGGAGTTTAGCCTGTCAATCAGGTTGCAGCTTAATGACCTCCTTTAGCAGTGCTAAGCAGATAAATAGCTTGCTGGAGGCGGGACACACAGATACTCCCTGCAAGACATTCCTGTTGAGAAGACACATGGAGCTCCCCTACAGCCCTGGAGCTGAAGGAGCCACGTGGAGACAGACCCCTGCCAGCGCTGAGTTGCTTCCACCGCCACTGGATCCACAAGACTTTCCAACCACTGGCTTGTGGACTTCCTGCATTTGTCATCATTGCATGTATTGTGTGAGTCTGAAGAGGAATTTATAGATTGGCATCGGACATATGTGCTAATATCGGACTTATGGACTTGATCTGGACTGGGCTGCGATGGTTTCTTAATATATACTTGCTCTTGTATATAAAGCTCTTTCTTATACACACGAGTGTCTATGAATGTGTTTCTCTAGTCTACCCAGACTAACACACACTCTATTCTTCCTAGACTGAGCATCCGCTGCTCACTGTAGTCTAAGCCAGGGCTTTGAACCCTTTCTTTCTGATTCTACCTCTGCAGAGGATTTGCATTTCTATCCTAGATATAATGAACCAGAAGCTACAGGTTAATGAGGTCTCTAGGAGATTTTTCTATAGAGGAGAATTACCTGGTGAACTATAAGAATCACCTGAGGGTCTTGGGAAAACTGCAGACTGATTTGGTACAGCTTAGGTGGAAATGCAAATTCTCATGACACAGTCAGACCCAAATGAATTGGTTCAAAGCCCTGGTCCAGCCCAACTCAATTCAACCCAACTCCAAAATGGCTGGCACCCAGCCAGCACCGGGGCATTACACAGTCCCTCCCTTCCCCCCAATCTAAAAGAGGTACCAAAACCCAAACACCACAGGCATCAAGTCCATTCCTTCTCACGGCAACCCCACAGGACAGACAGAGTACAATGGCCTCTCTGGGTTTCCGAGGCTGTAATCTTTACAGGAGCCTCATCTTTCTGCAGAGGAGCGAGTGGGGGCTTCACACTGCTGACCTTGTAGTTAGCAGCCCCGTCCATAACCTAGCATGCCCCAGGGCTCCTTGAACGAGGTACGGAATTGTGAAATCATAAAGGAAAGAGGAAGGGATGCTACAGAACGCATGGCACCCACACGGCCCTGGACCTCTACTGTTAATCCCCTTCCCTCTTACACACCCTTCCTGCTGGAAGGCTGTCACCATATTGGAAGCAGCCTGAGGTTGGAGACATTTTAGGTCTATTAACATTTCAGAGTTATAAAAGATATCTAGATCACTCGGGTCAGGCGTTCCTAACCTGGGGCCGCTGGGTGGGATTCTAGACCAACCCATTTGTTGGCAGATGAGGAAACATTATGAGGGGTGCGCTCATTTTCCCAGGTCACAGAGAACTCATTACAGGGGCTGGAATCCTGAGTTCAAGTTCAGCACTCTGCTCCCATCTCCACTGTCTCCATGGCACCGGGAGCACACCCTCTCCCTTTTACTGCCTCATGAGTCTAAATCACCACCGTCTCCATAAAAAACATACTAGCTGGTTGATAGAGGAAAAGGCTTCCAACTGTCTTCAGAATCATAAAGGCTTTTTGGAATATTTTGGCCCTGAATCAGAGTATGGTGAACTTTCCATCACATTGACCCTGGGAAGGATATAGCGAAATATCTGCCAGCCATATTCTATCCCCGCAGGGCCCCGAGGATAAGGGTAGGTGGGTAAGAGTATACATCCAGGAAAAAAAAGAAAATCTGGTCAGATCACGTCCTGTTAAACATGCTAGTGGCCAACGTCCTGGCAAATAAACTACTGTTACTTCATAGCAAAAGAGCCCTTATCTGTGGAATGCTTTTACGAGCAGGGTCTATCTGGCCCCTCTAGGGCTTCTTATTGGTAAATAAAACTGGAACCTGTGGCTTTAGGATCATGGCTCTCCAGAAAGTTTCACAACTACCTGAGTAAAAAGTGGCCCATGTATTGTGGTCAAAATGGAGGCCTTCAGGGTGATATGACCACATGTGCCTGTCACCCACCCACTGCTATCAAGTCAATGCCAACTCAATGCCTACTCACTGTGCAAGCCTACGCATTGTGTCAAGGCACTGCATGTTAACCGGGGTCCCCAGGCAGGACCTGGAGCTGCACCAGTTGTCTAGGACAGGCGTCCTCAAACTATGGCCCGCGGCCCACCAAAAACATTTATCTGGCCTGCCGGTGTCTTTGCCCCGTTTTGTTTTTTACTTCAAAATAAGAGATGTGCAGTGTGCACCTCTGCTTCCGGACTAGTTGTAGCTTGGAAATTTACTGGTCAATTGATGTCTGATAAGGTATCTGATTTCTGTGAGTTTGATTTGAAACTCCAGGTCTTTGTGAAAGTCCAGGGAAGAGGGGGGCTCCCCAGCGCCATGTTGGGGGGGAGAAGGCTTCTTGCTCCTGTCCCTGCTAAGCCATCCTTGTTCACGTTGCATTGACTTTTGATGACCCTGGCCCTTTTCCTAACTCCCTCCTCCCCAGTTTGTTCTCATACATCATTAAAGGAACTACTGAGGCAGAAACAGAGGAACAAGAAATATGCTTCTTCGGCTGGCCACAGAAAACACCAATTAGTTTAATCCATTAAAGCAGAGTCTGCAAACCCACTGATCTACCAGCGAGCCGATAAATTCTCCTCCGATCCTTGATACTGTTTACCGGCAGGAGAAGCACCGCATGTAATTGAGGCTCCCCAAGGTCAGCTGCGGCTGATTTACAGGAGACTATTGAGCACTCCATCGGACACAGAGTAACAACTTTCCCAAGACGCCTAGAGTATCAATTTATTTGGAATAAAACTGGCTTTAATGAGACAGGAAATCCCATATTATTTATTGCTAGCAAGAGCTCAGCAAACCATTTTTCTTTGGCTCAGGAGGCATGCTGCCACCGGCCCATTGAAAACCTGCCAACATGATCTTCGGTCTTCCCCGCTTAATTTTACAACAACTCTACAATTAAATTCCTTCTGACTTATGATTTCAATGTTCAGTTATCACTTCCTAATGTCCAGTGCCAGGGTGCAGAGCAGAGTGTGGGATTATAAGAGACGTTTCCCCAGCTTTGCCTCCCCCATAGACATGCCAAACCTTAGCGGCTCTCTGCCAGCATATGGTGGGAGTTCAGATGCTTAGAGCCATCCTCCCTGAAGGCAGTCAGTGGCCAGACAACTGTCTGGGCCCACCACAAGAGGGCCCACTCCCTGCTGTGAAGGACAACGGCCAGTTCTCCCTAAAGGCTTGCAGCCATTGGTCTGGTTCCTGCAGGTGGGGTTTTCACTCTACTGATAGTGGTTTCTATAGTGAGACAGAGAACAGGTCAAACCCGCTCAGTGATATCCAAAATTAAGCTGCCTCCCTGAATCTTGGATCCGCCCACCTTGTCACATGTGTACCCCCAATACCTCCCCTTCCTATTGGGTGGATACCTCTAGGTCACCCCCCTCCTGTTACTGTTTACTTCCTGTGACGTAAGCCTTTACCTGTAATTAGGGGGCTTGCACATCCCCAGAGAATATAAAAGCCTTGGTCAGCAATCAATCTCTCTGTCCACGTGGCCCACCAGGTGAGGCTGAGGTGAGCATGCTACCATGAACTGTGTCTGACTCCATTATTTCAATCTCTCTTCTATCGCTCACGCTCTCTATGACTTTACTATCATCTCTACCAATTATCGCTGTACAATTGCGCCTACTGGACCCGTGATGATGTGTTAGGGGCTGGTTCCCTCAGAGCAGGGCCGACTTATCTACCTGCCTGGAGCGAGACACAGAGGAGTGTTTTCCATTCTTGTCTCCCTCCCATTACCATGTTGCCTAATCAACCCGGGGGCACCTCAGCCTCCTGGGATTGACCAGCAGGGAGGAAACGCAGGTCTCTCTCAGAACAGTGGCAATGTGACTAGAAGAGCCTTCCCTTTCTTAAATTTATAACCCTACCAGTTCCTGAAAAAGCTCTGAGAGGTTTACATTTAAAGCACAGAAAAGTTGATTTAAAAAAAAATTTAGCACAAGAAGAGTAACTTAAAAGGAGCCAGCTTTCAGAGAGAAACAGAACTTGGCTAGCAGGAACCAGGTGTCACCCTGCAAAGCTCCAGGCTATTCTTTTGACAGCCAGAGGGTCTCCCGCTTCACAGGCAGAAGCAGACAGCACTGTCAGAGGGACGCCCCCAGCCCCTATTCTGAGCTTGTATGCAAGTATCTGTGAGTCTACTTAAAAACCAGTGTTGCGAAACTGACTCTGACAAGCCTGCGTGTGTCACAGTCGAGCTGTGCTCCACGGTTTTCAGTGGCTGGTTCTCCAATAGGGGGTCGCCCGGCCTTTTTCTGGGCAGACTCCAACTGCCATCCCTGTGATTGGCAGCACTTGGCATCACCGGGGACTCTTAGCCTTTAGATAAGAAACTGAAAGATAAGGAGGTCTTCAAAAACGGCGCTGGCCAAATTGCCGAGCTGTTCTGCACAGTGTACCGTCTCACTCTGGTCCTCCATAAAGGCCAAGGGTGTCATGCCAAGTTGTAATTTTCCCGGCCATTTCCACGCAGGTGATTGATTTCAAGGCCTGAATGTGGACGCCTGCAGGCTCTTCGTGGGAAGAGGAAGGAGAAACTACACAGGGAGCGTGCAGAAGGGAAACTGGTGTTTGTCTTCCACTGACACAGGAGGGAAGAGGTGTACTGGCACAGGCTCTGCAAAGCTCTCCCTTCCTGCCACCCCACTCACCTGACCTCGGGACCAGTGCTAAGTCGGGCGATGTCATGGGCTGGGGATGGCAGGCACACTCCACTGTGCCTGGAGCCCGAGACTGGAAACTAGGCTGGCTTTCAGGTCTAGTCAAACTAGAATTGTTAGGTCGTTTAGCTTAGGGACTGGGGCGTCCATTACCCATGCTCAGAGGTCAGGGTTACAGGCCCATGAAGGAGTGGTACACTGTACATGCTCAGAGGTTCAGGCTTCCGGCCAGGAAGGGGAGGTACACCTGGGTGGGCACTGCACCTGGATTGGCCCACCTAGGCCAGGTAAATTCAATTCAGCCAATGGGGTCGACCAGGGTTGTCCACCACGCCTCCTGCGGAACAATTGAAAAAGGCAGGAGGCCGGAGCTGACCGCCTGACTTCTGGTCAGTTTCCAGGGAGGCTGCACGGGGTGAGGGGCCCTGTGGGTGCCTGTGTAAGCCTGAAACTTCTTCTAACTCTCATAAAACTCACTTGGATCACAAACCAGGTTTCGGGCGTGAATTCTTTCTCGCGCGGATCCAAGGACTGAGGTATAACTCTCCCCCAAGAGATCTAACAGAATGTGCCGGCTGTTCTATGGAATCTCGTGAGAGGGGCTGAAATGAATCAGATTTCTCTAGAACTACCCTGTTTAAAACATCAGCCTGAATCCAATGCCTTTGAGGAGTAGTTAGCAAAATATTCAAAGTGAGGGGCTCTATAGGTGCCTAGAATCTCAACTTGTCATTTAAAAAAAAATTAATAAATCATTTTATTGGGAGCTCTTACAGCCCTTATAACAATCCATTGTGTCAAGCACATTTGTACATATGTTGCCATCATCATTTCCAAAACATTTTCTTTCTACTGAGCCCTTGGTATCAGCTCTTTTTCCTTCTCCCTGCCCCACCCTCCCATCTTCATGAACCCTTGATAAATTATAAATTATTATTCTTTTCATATCTTACATCACCCGCTGTCTCCCTTCACCCATGTTTCTGTTGTTCGTCACCCTGAGGGATGGTGGTGGTGGTTAAACGTCAATCAATCATTGCGATCGGTTCGCCCTTTCTCCCTGCACCTTCCCTTCACTCTCCTGGTATCGCCAATCCCATTACTGTTCCTGAGCGGTTAATCTGTCCTGGATTCCATGGGTCCAGAGCTCTTATCTGGGCCAGTGTACATGCGCCGGTCTAGCCGGAGTTGTCATTTTCATACTATCAGTATGTCTGTAGTTGAGAAAAATCAACTCAAATTAGTAGTGTTTCCCATAATTTGATTATTTCAGTCTTGGGAACAGGTTCAAATCTTTTGGTTGGCTCTAAAACAATATTTCTCAAAGTGGGTGATACCATTTTGCCTGGTGTGTGTGTGTGTGTGTGTGTGTGTGTGCGCGTGCGCACAATTGATTGATCCAGGGGGAATCTGTAAAGGCAGACACCTACACTTTATTCCAGATGATGAGCTATAGTAGGAAAAAGGTTTTAATTGCCAGGGAGTGCTGAGCTTTTTTTCTGTAAAGGGGGTGGTAAGCCAAAGAAGTGTGCGAGCCTATGCAAAGGAGCCCCTAACAAATGATCTGCCACACGGAGGAGTGCCAGTGTGTTTTAATATGCCCCCTGCAAAACCCTGTCCTCATGGCAGACACAGGGGTTCAGGCGACGGGAGCGGCCACCCTGGCTGACCTCCACTGCCTGTGAACACCCGCAAGTGAAGACCCTATGCCCCTGATGTCTGGTTCCATCGAAGCACAGCTTCTAGGAGGAATCTGCCTAAGAGGGAGCAGCAGAAAAGACCTCCAAGTGCCAGTTTGGAGGCACCCCCTAAAGCAGTGGTTCTCAACCTTCCTAAGGCCATGACCCTTTACTATGGCTCCTCATTCTGTGGTGACCCCTCCCCAACCATAAAACTATTTTTGTTGCTACTTCATAATTGTCATTTTGCTACTGTTATGAATCGGGGGACCCCTGTGAAAAGGTCATGTGACCTCCAAAGGGGCTGCGACCACAGGTTGAGAACCGCTGCCCTAAAGGTTGTACAGTGGTGGGTTGGTATAAAACTAGTCACAACAGATTTTCTGCTTATATTTCCTCCTCTTTCCTCCCCAAAGTAAGTATCTGGGATTTTGTGAGCTAAACCCGATGATCTGAGACTGGTATTCTGGACTGGACTCACTGTTGAAGTTTGCTCTAGGTGGAAAATAGATTCATAGGGGTTAGACTGCCCACCCCTAGAGGTAAAACCGGGATTCCCTTGCTCTGGGGAGGCGTGTCGTATGATGGTGATAGAAGAAGGGGGGTGGTACCTTCAGGAGCAGTTGGTACTTGGTGATCCTCTGGACAGGTTTAATTAGGTAGGAAGAGATGGAGTTGGCCAGGCCATGCCGCTGCTGTATCTCCTACGGGGTTGGAAACAGACACCATTAGATGCGGAAGGGAAGAGGGGTGCTCTGGGAGGAGGTGGGCAGGGGCGAAGGGAGAGAGAGAGAGAGAGGGAAATGATTAGAGAATTAGAGAACTTTTCTCTAGTTAGAGAAAATGTTCTATGATGGGGAGATGGGAGTAGGAAGGGATGACAGAGAGCCTAAGATGTATTTGTAAGTGCAGGGACAAGGAGGAAAGATGAAAGAGGAACCTTTAAGAAAGGAAGCCTTGTGAAACAGAGGTAAAAAGGAAAAGAAGTGAGGAAGGGCACGTAGGAAGGGGATGGAGCAAAGACACTGGAAGGCAGTGGAGAGGTCACGGAAATGGATGGAAGAAATCAAGATCGCACATGGCCGGCCCCACTGTGAAACACGACGCCCTCCCTGACCCACGGCCCTGCAGGGGACAGCACCGCAGACGCAGTGTGGGAACTGCGCCCGATCTGACCCCGCCACACCGAGGCAAAGCACGAAGGGGGTGCAACAGGACAGCAAGGGAACAGGGTGGTGAGATCCCTAGGGAATGTGCTGAAGGTGGACTTTGGGGCCAGGGCGTGGTGCCCCAACAGACTGGACTGGAAAACACTCCTAAAGGCCAACAAACAGTCCTTGAACTAACTACAAGCTTTCTTTCTTGTGTTTTGTTGTATATTGTTGCTTGGTTTTGCTCTGTCTTGTTTTTGTGCACGTTATTATCTCCACAGGGCTGTCTAAATAAGATAGGCTGGATGAACAATTTGGAGGAGAAAACAATGGGACTGACAGTTCTGGGGGGACATGGGAGAGGGGGAGGTGAGGGGAAAGGTAGTGGTGTTAACAAACCCAGGGACAAGGGAACAACAAGTGATCCAAATCGGTGGTGAGGAGGGTGTGGGAGGC